GACAAGAACACAGCAATAAACTGTGTGGGGAGATTGAAAGTCAGATGTGAATTAAAATGTTTTGCAGACGCTTATGTAGATAGATAATGATCTCAAGGTCCAGTTTACATTTATTTTCCCCGTGATATCTTGGAACTACATAAATTGCCTAGAAATTAGGTGTAATCTCAGGAAAAGGTAGGAAAACTCTGGTTTGACTGAGATTTGGTTTCTGATACCTGGTAGAACATAGCTTTAAATAAAAATTAAATATAGTTATGAAAAATAAAAGTTTTTTTGCCCTCCTTGAGCATCTACTTTTGTGTATTGAAATTATACCCCTTACAGATGATTTAAAACTTTGCTTTCTTCAAAACATATGAAATGATGATGATTTTGGTGAAAGGGATAATACTGTCTTAAACCACATAAGGGGAAGACACTGTCAATAGGACTTTCATGGATGACTAGCATTCCCTTTGGACTCAGTTTTGAACACCTGAACAATAAAATAGAAGATTTAAAAAATACACATAATCACTCACAAATTCATCTGTAACATCTTTTGCATGATCTTTGTTCTAGCATTTAACTGAATTTTTCCATGGATAATCCTCTATAGCCATTTTCTCTCCTACTGTTCTACATTCTTTTACCAGATTATCTCAAAATGTATCTCTGATTTTATTATTCCATAAATAAAATCCTTCAGGCTTTTAAATTTTATATATAAGAAAGAAACAAAAACAAAGACAGCCAATCTAAATAGAGGTACTCTCTTCTTAGTAAAGCTGTCATATTACGAACCCAATGAAACTTCTGCTTTACTTTCTGCTGCTACATCCCCTATCCCTTTGGGTCACCAAATAAGTTTATTCTCTAGCCTGTAAGACCTGTTGGCATTATCTCCTGTATGAGTCTTATCAGATTATTTTCTCTGCCTGAAATGCCCTCTTTCTCCCTTTATTCAGATTCTAGCCCAACCTCTATAACTTCTTCAACTGAGAACTCTCTCCCTTGTCTGTGCTGCTATAGTATAATGATCCCCAAAGTGTTTGACTGTGTGCTATTATCAGTAAAATATGTTACTCCTCCAACATATGCTTATTTATATGCTCATAGTTTATGATCGTGTGTATAACAAACAAAAATAGAAATTAGGAAAGTTTGAGATAAATATAATACTAAATGTTATGATTTTCTTTTTGCATGCAGGGGGATCATCTTGTGTAGTATATCCATGTCCCTTTTACAAGATGAACTAACTAGACTAACTTGGTCTTTAGCTAGTTGGCTAAATTTCTTAAACTTTGTGAAACTCTTTCTTCTCTCATTTGCAAGAAATATCTGTAATGATTTTTCTATTAATATAATTCTTGCACATTTTACTTCAGATTGTTAATAGTTTTCCCCCTAAGTGTTCATCTACCAAAATGGATGGTAAGTTCCTTGAGGGCAAGGATTATGTCTTGTTCC